ACGCTCATCTTGCCGTGCGTGATCGTACCGGTCTTGTCGAACACAATTTGCGTCACCTTGGTGGTGGTTTCGAGAGCTGCGCCACCCTTGACAAGAATTCCATTCTCAGCACCGACTCCAGTGCCTACCATGACAGCTGTCGGAGTCGCGAGGCCGAGGGCACAGGGGCAGGCGAAGACGATGACAGAAATGCAGAGCTTGACGCACACCATGATCTTGCCGCCGCTATGCTCCTCAGTGAAGACCTTTGGAGGGTTCTTGAGCACATGGCTGAGCACCATCCAAACGAGGAATGTCATCAAGCCAAGGATGAGGATCATGGGAACGAAGTAGCCGGCGAGTGTGTCGGCCAGTCGCTGGATAGGCGCACGGGTTGTCTGTGCCTCTTGCACGAGCTTGACGATCTGGCTGAGCTGAGTGTCACGGCCGGCACGAGTGACACGGAAATCGACACGGCCGTGACCATTGACGGTTCCGCCGATGAGGTGACTGCCTTTCTTCTTCTGAACAGGCATGGCCTCACCAGTCACCATGCTCTCATCCACATATGTCTCGCCGCGAACCAGCACGCCATCGGCTGGAATCTTGTCACCAGGTCGAAGGATTACAATGTCGCCCACCTGGATCAGCTCTGTAGGGATAACCTTCTCCTCGGCCGCCGAAGCATCGCGGTTCGGTGTCTTAGGTTCAACAAGCGTTGCGTTATCCCAGCTCTCGGCAGCCTTCTCGGCGGCAATAGGATCGGCGTAGATGGTGGCCATGGATGGCGCGAGCGACATGAGACGCGACAGTGCTTTTGACGTCTTGCCCTTCGCATTGTTCTCCAAGTAACGACCGAGAGTAACGAAAGTGATCAACATGGTGCTCGTGTCAAAAATGGTGCTGGGCCGAGAGTGAGGGGAAAAGAATATGGAAACCAGCATGGCCGTGACACTGAAGAAGAAGGCGCATGAAGTTCCGAGGATGACGAGGACGTCCATGGTTGGGGAGCCGTGCTTGATGGACTTCCAGCCAGAGATATAAAACCGCCTTCCAATGCCAAACTGGACGGGGATCGTAAGGGCCATGCAAACACAGTCGCCGAGGAAAAGACCAGGCAGGATTTCCAAGCCGCCAAAGTCGAGAGATGGTAAGCACATTGGAATGATCATGCTGATGAGCAAGACAGGTATCGCGAATGAGAGCGACAGTCTGAACGCTCTTCGCCACTCACTGATTTCTCGCGTCTTGGCGAGCGATTCAAGCTGTGCATTGTTGTCATCGCTGTCTGCCATGAGCGCATTCAAGCCTTCAGATTCAACTGCCTCAACGATGGCTCGTAGTCCAATCAGAGCGGGTGTATGGACGACGGTGAGCCGCGAAGAAGCCAGCTTGAGAGTAGCTGATTTCACACCGGAGAGAGATTCAAGCTTCGCTTCGAGGGCAAGAGCAGAGGTGGCGTCAATATTGCCATAAACCTTGAACTGGACGGTGGAGTTGGCGCTGGAGTGGTCTGAAATATCTGACTGAGAAGAAAGAACCTCAGCGCCGAAACCACGATCTTCGATTATCTCAGCAATCTTGTCTGCGGAAAGCTTGGATGTATCGTGAGTAATGACGGCACGTTCAGCCAACAAGCTTATGTTGAACTTGAGGACACCGTCGACGTCTGTGAAGCCACCCTCGACCGCGGACGTGCACGCTCCGCAGGTCATGCCCTCTATAGCGATCGTCGTTGTGGCGATGGTACTCGTGGAGCCGGCACCGGATTTTGATTTCTTTTCTAGCTGTATCTTGTTGCTTTCGAGGATCTCGGCACCAAAGCCTCTGTCCTCGATGATCTCGGAGATCTGCTCGGCGGTTAGAAGTGTAGGGTCGTGTTCGACGACAGCGCGTTCGGAAAGAAGTGATATGCTGAAAGATTTAAGCCCAGGAAGGTCCTTGAAGCCTCCCTCGACGGCTGATGTGCAAGCTCCACAAGTCATGCCTTCGATGGCTATAGTCGTAGACATCATATCTTCATCGTCGTCATCGTCAAAGGCCGCCTCGTCCACAGCGTGGCGGTTGAGAATGGGCGAGGGCAGGTCCGTCGCCAGCACTTCGGCGTCAAACCCCCTGTCCTCAATGATTTGTTGTATTTGTTCGGCTGAGATGTGCTGCGGATCGTGAAGAACAACAGCGCGCTCCATGACGAGGCTCACGGAAACATTTCCAACGCCTTCGACGCCCTTGAAGCCGGATTCGACGGCTGAGGTGCAGGCACCGCATCTGACTGCGCGTAAGTCTATTGCGACCAACCGAGAGAGGTGGTGTATCAGGGAACTCACGTCATGCCTCCAACCTGAAGAGTTGTTGTCGCCATATGCGCCGTGTTAGGTACGACAAGGCCGGACGACGTTGATCGTCTGCCACTCTCCTCTTCCCTTGGTGGGACCTTGATGTAGGCGGGCGCCATGTTTGGACGCGTTTTGAGGGTTGTTGGCGGAATAGGTTGCCGTCGTTCGGGAGTCGAGGTCGCTTCTGGAGAAGGATCTCGAAGAGAATGGGAGGAGGGCCTGGGGCGGGGGTCTCAGATCGCCGCGATTGCGTAGGTGTATGCTGTGCTATGCTACACTGTTGCGTGCAGACTCATTACTATTGATTTCGGGTCGTGGGATAGATGGACGTGGCGTAGCTCGGCTCGGCGCCAATGTCAATCGTCGTCCTCGAGTGGAGGAGGCTGAGACGACGAGATGGCGGCAGCGACGACAACTTCGTAAGCAAAGCGCAACAGGTACAAACACTGACTGGCTGAAAAGGGACGATAGTTCTCAAGACCCAGAAGACCGGCTTCCAGAAGGAGAAGGGGGGGAGGCGAACGGAGAATAGGTTGGGGGTATTTAGAAATATAAAGAGGGTGACCGATTGGGAGCCAAGCCACTGCAAGAGGAGAGGACAGAGGCGACAAATGCAACACCACGAACCAGCAGGCGAGAGGAAGGATGACAGAATGCGGAAGGTCGGCGGGTGGTGGGTTTTTGTCAGCGAAACGGCGCACCGAGACGTGCAGCATCGACATCCACCGGCCCTTTCCATCATCGTGCCAAGGGGCAGGGGTACCAGGCCACAGTCCCTCGTCTGTGAATAGATGTACCTACGCAGCTGCGGTGGTAGACCCGAAGATGGGCACGAGGGGCCCTGAGCGGCGTATCATCCACCACTGTAAAAAGACGATAGCGCTCGCTGGTAGGCGGCGGTGGGATGGCTACCAGGGTACCTATGCTCGATGAGTCCAGGGGTGTGGGGGGGGGCGCTTGTCTTGGGTCCTCGGCGGCCAGGATCAGCGCCTGCAACCTGCGACATGCCGGGGGATACGGCGTTACTTCTGACCAGCTTCCTGAAAGGACTTGGGCCAATCGAGAATTGTTCCAATCAGACGCACTGCGATTCCTGGTGGCGCACCTTGGTCCTGGCAATGTCCGAGCTGCTTGGGGGGGAAGAGGCTCCACTCAGCATCTCCCACGGCGTAAAGGCGTAAAGGCGTGCCGTGGGTGGGCGCGCTGGCTGTCCCTCCAATGCACTGTATTGGCTGCGTTGGCTCGTACTGCATCTGCCCCCCAGAAACCAGTAACTTTCGGCCTCCGGAAACGAGCATCGTATGCCTTGACTCCGCGATAGATTGCCGATAGATGTTAGCATGCCTTGCTTTCGATTTTGCGCGACCAACGTCCTCGTGAACCCTTTATACAGAGGTCGTCGTTGGCTCTCGTGCTCCAACTCGAGTGACACAGCGTGCGCGGTCAGTCTGCTGACCCTCCTTCTCGTCCCGAGGGTCCTGTCCAGGTCAGCACCGGCAGGCACGGCTCCGAACTGTGACAAGAAACCAATCGCCCAGACCTCATTGATCAAAGGAAGCCCAGGCTGGATGGGTGGCGCAGGCTCAGGTGCCAACACGCGGAGAAGCATCGAGTGTCCAAGGCTGTCTCAGCTTCTCGTCTGAAGCAACAGCTGAGTTGCGCTACCAACTGCTTAGTCCAATAGATCAGGTTAAGTTTGAAGCCGAATCACCCGCTAACCTCTCAACCCGTTGCCACCCCCATACGTCTGCGTCCCGCCTGTTTCGTTTACCGTTCCAGGGCTGACGACAGGGTACGAGACGCAATGCCGTACTACCGTAGAGAGCATGATGAGGGCATCGAGAGCGCAAGCACGCCATGCAAATAGTTTGAACAAATGCTACGATCGCAATCAGAAGTGAGCACTTCCATCTCCAGGAGTGAAAACTGCTCAAGTTTTATTGTTAAACGTCATCGCTATTCCGAGACAGCAATCAAAGGAGAGTTTTTCTTTCTTCATCGGCAAATCAATCAATGCATTGAGGAATAGCTGGGAGGATTGCAGTCACCGCTGTCTCTGGCCGTCTGGCAATACGCCTTTGATATCACATCTTCTTGATATGGAAGCTGGTTGACATGCTTTGAGTATCGTACGATGATGGCCAGATATTGATGCTGGCAAAAGTCGGGCTGGGCCAGATGCGAGAGACACACGAAATGCTGAGGTAATAACACTGATGAGCCCCTTATCGATTAACGACAGCTCCAGCATCTTAGCCTCCAGCGAATGCTCAATAGGGTCCACTTGAAGTTCGACTGCCCCGCGCGGATCGCTGTGCTCACGAACTAACCTTTGTCCAAACAACCACGGACCTCTTGCCGCGTCAACACCACGGTCCCATCCTCAAACAGATCTGATACCGGGAACCCTCCAGGCTCAGACTCGCGGAAACAAACGACTCCACAAACTTCTGAGCAGCTCCCGCCTACGATCTTCCATCAATCGACACATTCCCTGTCACGCCGGCTAGAGGATCAACCTTGGCACAGAAGCGACAGCTACTTGCTTTGGCTCCTTGACGCTCGTGTCCAGACGCTGCTTCAGAGCTGTCAGCCTCGTCAGCCCTTCGGCGAGGCTACCAATATACGTACTAACACCCCGCCCCTTCCCACGAGACCTACCTCCCTCGACAGGCTATTTCAGCCATGGAGCAGACAAAAGCTCTGAATGCGTTGGAGGTAACACCATTCCACACGCCCACCTCCTCGAGGCACCTCGCTAACCTTCTCTGCATAGCCTTTCCTGGCCCTCAGCAAGTCAGCGAGCTCCCCTCGTGCTGCCGCAGATCTTGTCACCCGCGCGACCTCGAATCCGAATACATTTCTCTTCACGGAGCTGCTTCAGACGCCACAGATCCAGAGCCTCGCCCAGTCTGCCGAACACGCCGCATACCTCACATTACTCCGCATCTTCTCCTATGGCACCTACGCCGACTACCAGAGGCAGCAGCAGCAGTCCTCCCAGTCGCTGCCCGACCTGAGTGAGAGCCAGGCCCTCAAGCTCCGCCAGCTCTCCCTCCTCACCCTGGCCCGCGATCGCACCAATCTCGCCTACCCCCGTCTCCAGACCGCCCTGTCTCTGCCCGACACCCGCGCCCTCGAGGCCCTCGTGACCTCAGCCATCTACGCCGGCCTCATCCAGGCGACCCTCGATCCCGCCCGCCAGCACGTCCATGTCACCGCCCTGGCCACTCTACGCGACCTCGCCCCCGACTCCATCCCTGCCCTCTCGGACGCCCTGCGCTCCTGGTCTGATCGCTGCGCCGCCACCCTCCGCGACATTGATGCCCAGACCGCCGCCATCCGCGCCGAGGCTGCCCGCAGACAGCGCCACGCTGGCGTTCGCGAGGAGCAGCTCGCCGAGCTCGTCGCCGAGACGAAGCACTCAGGTGGAGGGGCCGGTGGCGGCATCCTCAGCGGCGTTACTGACGCTGCGCGCCGCGCCGGCCACAGCATGCGGGAGCGCGCCAGGGTGCTCAGCAAGCGTGGGAGCAACCTGATGGAGACGGCCGATCAGGAGGACGAGGAAGCCATGGACCTCGACCTGGAGGAGGAGGAGCAGAAGCGGGCCAGCCGTCGCAAGCTATAGGGTTTCTAGCGCAACATGGGATCGTGATCGTGTTGCGGGGTGCGAATGGGAGAGACAAACTGTGCCGACTGGGCGGCAAAGAGGCGTTTACATGCATGCTTTCACTAAGGCAGACGGCATCCTACCACGAGGGTCCAACATCAATAGCGGGTATGACGCGGTAATGAGACACGGAATTCATGATTTTTGCTCCAGGTTTTAGAAAGTGTCCGTTTCTCCAGGGACTGGGGGCCTGACTCGCAGGCTTTGTTGCTCATATACAAATAGGATCAAGGACCGTCGTGGAGTTCCCTCTACAAAAAAAAAGGCAGTTACACGCAAGGCAGAAAGTTGTTGGTGATGATACATGCCTGTAACATCTCGAATGGTCCAAGAACAGAAGAAAGACGATGAGCAACGCTCGACCCTTGGTCGATGGTGCCAGTCGGATCCGTGCCAGCAAACCCAATCCATACAATTACCATCTGCACGCCACCCATCCTTATCGAGCACGTGGTATCCTGAAGGGAGAGACTGGAAAGCAAAGTGCGAAGTGTGTTATCCGCGATGAAGAAAAGTAAGAAGTAAAAACAAACCCGAAAGTCCCGCTCGAATCCTTTACGCCTTGGATTATCATTACGTTCGTCAAGTCCCCAGCCTACCAGCCGCGCCCCAGGCTTCTGCTGATACAGGCTCTCGCTTACTGCTCAATCTATAATCTCTTGCCTGGAACCAGAATGAAGAGTACGCAGAGTGCAGCGTCGATCAGAATAGTGACGGCAAGGACCATAATGGCTCGTTTGGCGAGTAGTGTGCGGACGTATGGTTCACGAACGCGAGAGAAGTTGAAAGGCGTGTACTCGCTCAAGCCAATAAGAGCGAGGACGGGGTCGAGAGAGTACTGGTATGATGCGAGGAAGTAAACACCCAAGGTAAATGGCAGGATCAGCTTGCAGAGGTTAGCAAAAGTTCTCACAGCGGTTAGTACACATATTGCTTACCCAGCATCTGGTCAGTCGGCTCCTGTCAAGGAAGATGAGGACGAAGGCCGTCCAGAAGGCACCGAACATGGCCACGAGACCAAAAATGAGACGCATGACCAGTGTTGGCGGAATAAGATTTCCTAGCGCCTTCATGCGTAGGAACCCAGGGAAGGCATCCCGCTCCATAGCCTGGAAGACATAGTCCTTGGCTACGTCAAACACCTCAGGGTCGTCCCGTCCAAACTCTTCGATCGCTGACGTGACATCTTGGGTGATGCTACCAGGTAGGGTGATTTCGCGCTCCGCACCGGGAAGGAGAAAGGTGTAAAGGATCTTCTCCGCTGAGGCACGAATATCCTGGCGGGCAACTGTGTGACCAGGCGAGTTGGAGTCGGACGTAACGTCGCGAGGAGTGCTGAATGCTGGACTGGGCCGGCTGTTGTTGCGGCGATCGTTGCTGCTTTGTGGCGAGTCCTGGATCTGGTCTTCGCGGAGGTAGGCAGACATTTGGGCGTCCTGGTCCTTCTCCTTTTCCGTTGCGTACATGGATGGGCCGGCTCCAATGCCCATGTTGGTCATGTCGCCCATACTTTCGAGGATGGCTGAGGAACGCTTGGAACTTGCTTTCTCCAACTCAGGCGTGCCAACTAGAACAGAACGGCGGAGTTCACGGACATAGTGGCGACATAGTGACATGTGCTGAGCGACATCAAGCCTGCCACCGGGTCAGTATTTCATCTCAGGAAGGCAATCGTAGGTCTCGACGAACCAGAAGTCAAGGTAATCAACGGATCGTTGTTGATCACGCATGTAGATGTAGAATGAAAAGAGGTCGACGGGCGGCAGAGTACGACGGCTGAGCACCTCGAAGAGAGTCGGAAGCCTATTCCGGCCATAGTCGGGCTGTGGTGATGGCGTCACCATTGCCGGGTCGGGATGTGTGTCTTCCATGATGATTGAGGATGCTTAAGCTGCGGCGATGTTCGTTCGAGCGTGTGTGCTTCACGTACGCTGAAGAGCGAAAGTCGAAGGTCGGTTCAGGAGGCGCGGTAGAGGTGGTAGTGGTGAAGAGAAGGCTCTGTGCGATTGATGAGATCGCGATGGGCAAAAACGGTTGTTTCCTAGCGGACCAACCACCCCTGTGCGACGCGAACTCGTATCGGCCAATTCCTCCTGGTCTGTCGACTATCGTGATCGTTTTGAAAGAGTGGAAGTGTTGCGAATGCGCTCAGCGCAAATGGAAGGCGTCTTCGTTGAGGTTGTGGTTGAAGGTAGTCGCAGGAATGTGACGATGCAGGCCATGGAAACGGCAACAACAGCAGATCACTCGCCTAGTCGTTGTCGCCAGGCAGACTGAGACGAGATGGATTGCTGAGTCTGGCGCCTGCGGTTGGGGGGTGGGACCCAGCGTCGGTACGTACTGGGCCCTGTCATACCCCTTGTCGGCATCGCTCATCTGAGTAGAGTGGGGGCATGCTATGTCGATTGATGCGCCGAGTCACGTGCAACCACCCACCACAGTCCGGCCCGCAAGTGGACAATTTGATTGGCTCGCTAGGGCTTTTTTGCGCCTGCACACAGGATTTTGTTCGGTTTTCCACTTTGCCAGAATTCTGACTCCAGACCTGGACCTTCGCCAGCCCAACGCCCAACTTCCTCGACAAGCCCCGAACCAGCGACAACCACGAGGAATCGTCCAAGATGTCGACCAAGCAGAAGAAGACCGGCGGCAAGCAGCGCTCCGCCATCGCGGACGTTGTCGCTCGCGAGTACACCATCCACATGCACAAGCGCGTTAGTAGTCACCACCGCCACCAAACCGCACAACTCCATGACGGGACCGCCGACGATGGCTTGAGGAGGTCTTAGGACGAGGAGACTATTTCAGTGCGCAATTAGAGCCCACCGCTGACATTTTGTTTTCCACAGCTCCACGGTGAGACCTTCAAGAAGCGTGCTCCCCAGGCCATCAAGCAGATCAAGCTCTTCGCCACCAAGTCCATGGTACGTGCCAACTATCCCCGCGCCTACGACTGCCTCCGGCCCGAAGGACAAGAAGAAAGAAAGGGTTGGAGGCAGAAGTGGACGACAAGGAACCAACTCGGTTATTTGGCCCGCCGAAAAACTAACATGTCACGCAGGGCACCACCGATGTCCGCCTCGACCCCCAACTGAACAAGAAGGTCTGGGAGCAGGGTATCAAGGGCGTTCCTTACAGGCTCCGCGTCCGCATCTCGCGCAGGCGAAACGACGAGGACGGCGCCAAGGAGAAGCTCTACAGCTACGTGCAGGCTGTCAACGTCAAGAACCCCAAGGGTCTCCCGACGGTTGTCGTCGAGGAGTAAAGTTTTCCTCTCTATGGCAATGGTTCAAACAAGGGCGGCATCGGCATTAAGGAGTTGTATGGGTCTTTAGCTTTTCCCACCACCACGATTACTTCAGAGGAAATGCGAGAGAGGCTTGATTCCCCGACGAATCCGAACGAAAATCCTTCTTCTACCGTCCACAACCAGGCAATTCGATGACTGGCCCTTCTGCGTTCGACGACCGATATGATGAACTCGGGGTTAAAAGTGAAATGACATGCGGGGTCAAAAATCTAGACGGTGTGGAACAGGTGAATTTGGGTAGCGACGGTAGGGGTTTGGTCGGTCGGTCGTTTGATCGATGGTGTTACAGTTGCTCAGTAGCTTTGCTACCGACTATGCGTCTGCCCTTGCGCGAACAGATTCGTTGCTTCGCCATTCCTCCAAGCGCCTCCTCGCCCATGCCCATGTCACATGCAGTGCTATGCCAGTCCAATGCTTTGAAACCGCAACGCAGTTCCAAACAAGCCATTATTTCATTCATGCGATACAAAGAAGACTCCCACCTTGCTGTGCTCGGGTATAATGCCTTCCCTCTCGTTTCAAAAACAAACAACACCTACTCGTCCTCGACGTCACGGTGACGGGCCAGGACCTTGCGCTTGAACTCCTCCATGTCCTTGTCCCACAGTTCGGCTGCCTCGCCGTTGAGAGGGGAAGAGCTGACGGTGTCAGTGCATGTTCGTCCGAATCTCGCAGCATGGTAAGGCTCACTTATTGGGCTCACCGAGCAAGCTTTGCAAGCTGAGGAGGACGGTCTGGATGTTGTATGCAGCGGTCCACTTGTCTTTGAGGATGTCGAGGCAGATTCGACCGGAGAAGTCAAAGTTGGGGTGGTAGATGGGGGTCTTGAAGAGGACGGTAGGCGCAGCGTAGGGATAGTTGTTGGGAAAGGCGAGGCTCAGCTTGAGGGTGAGGCCGGCGTAGGGGGTGCCATCGGGTCCCTCAATGGTAGCCGTCCAGCTCATGAGGTTGCCGTCGGCTGACGGGAAAGCGGACACGCCAGGCGCGGGCGAGGTCATAAGCTGCATCAGCTCCGTCTGCAACCTGTGACAGAGATAATCAGATTAGCACGAGATCCAGCGTCGACAAGCGTAAAGCTTAGGACCAAGGAGCGTCGGGGCGTTGGTGGTCCTGCCGCCCTTTCTCGAAGCTACATACCTCTTGGTAACGCTGCCCGCATCGGGGCCTTTGCGGGCTGTGCTAAGCTTGGTCTGCTGGATACTGCCAGGAGCGGCGTTCTGGCTGTCTTCTGCTGCAAAATCCATGGCTGCGGTGGTGTGAAAGAGTTGGTGCGTATGGATAGTGTGACCTTGTATGCAACAGCTGGTGATGGTGTTTCGAAGACGCGGGTGGACAAAGACAGGAGGATAAGACCAGGTTCGTGCCTGGGGAAGAGGGGCAATGGGCGTTGTAGGCGAATGTAGAAGTCTTGAATGGCGGGTGTTTGCGTAGGAAGAATGGGGAAGCAGAGGTTGGAAGTCAGAGATACTACTGAGCGTGTTGTAGTTCGGTCAGCCAGTGCTGGTGGAATCAGGTCAGAAAGGGAGCTGCTGAGGCGCTGAGGCTCGGTGGGCTTGGCGAGGCCTTGTTTACTGCAACCGGCAGTCACCCGCCCGGGGCAACCGCGATTGGGGCCTCTGCCAGCCAATGGATACGCTAAGACGCGTGAGGCGGGGTTGTTTCGAATTGGTCTGCGAATGCCCAAACACCACTCGTGCAACCTCTTTACGCGGTCAGGACGCGGTTCTGTGTACCACTTTGAATGCCGCCAGCATGGTGAGTGGCTTTTTTCTTTTTGTTTACTTGCACACACCTTCCTCTCTCCTGAATCATATCGCCAGCCAGACATGCAGCCCAGGCAGCGACGGGACATGGACTGTGCCAAACAGCCTATCAGACATCCTTGGCCTCCACTTTTGAGCCCCCGTTGATGATGCGCAAGTTAGCTAGCTAGCTACCTTCCTCAGGTACCTAGTTACTTACCTGAAGGCAGTCACCAGTGCACTCACCGTCTCAACACCATCCCACTTGCTTGATCGAAATGGCGTGTGCCTAGGATCATCAAACATAACCATCTCGAGGTGACGAGCCTGGCAATCGACTAATGCACAATGGCTCAGTCCCAATTAGACCCTCTCCCCAACAACCTGCCCTTCAGGATCGTGTCCAAAACTATTGGACGGGGAGCCTATGCATCGTGCGTCTTGTCTCCGCCTTCTGGCTCTCAGTGTAACGCAACAGAGATCTAACATTGAATAGCATCAAAAAGGCCATACCCCTCGATACAACATCGCCAGTCTTTGCTGTCAAGCTCATCCACAAGGACTATGCTGTCCGCCAAGGCCGCGTTTCTGCCAAGCAGATGCTGATGGAGGTTTCCCTTCACTCTCATGTTGGCCAGCACGCCAACATCATAGAGTGGTTCGCCACAGGAGAAGACCACATCTGGCGATGGATCGCTATGGAATTCGCCGAGGGCGGAGATTTGTTCGACAAGATTGAGGCCGATGTTGGTGTCTCTGAGGACATCGCACACATCTACTTCCTCCAGCTCGTCAGCGGCGTGAGCTTCATGCACTCCAAAGGCGTCGCCCACCGAGACCTGAAGCCAGAGAACATTCTCCTCTCCGAAACGGGGAATCTCAAGCTCGCCGACTTCGGCATGGCAACCATGTTTGAGTACAAGGGGCAGCGCAAGACCAGCTCGGCCCTGTGCGGAAGCCCTCCGTACATCGCGCCGGAGATTCTTGCCTGTGGGCGCTCCGATAAGAACGGAAAAGCAACAGCCAAGTACTCGCCAGATCTCGTAGACATTTGGTCGTGCGGTGTGATCCTCTTCGTTTTGTTGGTGGGCAACACTCCATGGGATGAGCCCTCCAAGGGCAGCTGGGAGTATCAAGAGTACCTCCGAACCAAGGGTCGTAGCACAGATGCCCTTTGGGATCGACTCCCTGTTGAGGCGCTTTCACTCCTCCGCGGCATGATGAGCGTCGACCCCGCAAGCCGATTTTCCTTCAGCAAAATACGTCAGCACCCTTGGTATACGAGAAACAACACGTTGATGACCGTGGACGGCAAGGTCGCTGACCCGCTCACTTTGGCCACCCAAATGCTGCAGAACCTACGCATCGATTTCAGCCAGCAGCCCTCCCAGCAACTCTCATCAACCGTGGCCGACGCCATGGACATTGACGGCTCAGGCGTACCGGATAAGATTTCGTCTACCCAACCCGAAACACACATTACCGACATAGACTGGGACTATGAACGCCCTGCCCTGCGTTCCATTGGCTCCATGGCCATCTCTTCGACACAGCCAGCGTTGCGTAGTGACACCAGCACCTTCCCCAAGCCACACGGCCGTAGCCAGGTGTTAGACCATCTCGTTGATGAGCCCACAATGAGCCAATTCTCGCAGAACCCCGGCCTCCCCTTGACCCTGACCCAGGCCGCGCGCCAGTTCCGCGACATTGTACCAGCCGAGTCTCTGACGCGCTTCTTCTCCCACATGTCGCCGCAGCTCCTCGTGCAAGTGCTCGGCGATGCCCTCCATCAGCTTGGCGTTCCCTCGCCTCCCGTGACGCCAAGCTTGTACGCAGAACACGTCGCCACCGTCCGCGTCCGCACCATGGACGGTCGCAAGCAGAGCCTTCACGGCGAAATTCAGGTCGACCGTCACCAGCTGCCGGACGATCAGGAACTTCTGGACGTACGGTTCGTCAAAATCAAGGGCGATCCTCTCGAGTGGCGTCGCTTCTTCAAAAAGGTGGTCGTACTATGCAAGGACGTTGTCTACGTCCCGGACGCGTAGGAGAGGGGCCTGTTGAAAGGAGGCCCCAGGGTCTTCTTGCAATCTTCTTCATAGGCCGATCTGTGGGGGCCCGTTTTCAGAATTAGAACTTCAATGGAAATTCACGACAGGAAGGATACCCGAAGAATTGAAGAATCAGTGGATTAACGAACCTTCCCTTTTAATTGTATTACCGCTCCTATACAGTGATCTGACGAATGAGCCGCCATAATTGTGGTAGCTCCAAACATTGTCGTCCTCGCGGTCAGTCCCTGCTCTTTCATCAATGCAGCAGCAGAGGAAGAAGGCCTACCGATCAGCGGGATCCTCAAATGCCCTGCTGTGCGGTGGCTGTCCATACATGCGGCGTATAGAGCGTGGGGAGCGTGAAGACGAAGGGGATCTGCCTTGTTGCTGGCTTTGTGAACCACCTTGTTCGAGACCTTCAGGTGCTGCGCCGGTCAAGGCCCCGGCCGTCTGCCTCGAGAGAGCCGCACGTGCTGGACGAGCCAGCGGGGGGAAATGTTCTAGCCCGTACGTTCCTATCCAGGGGCGCCGGGAGGGGGACGTATTCCGGTCTCTGCCCTGGCGTACCCCGACTTCCTCGTCACGACCGGCCGTTGCAGGTTGAGCCAATCGAGCAAGGGGAGTGTGCTGGGCCCACGAGTTGCCGAAAGGATCTACTACAGTGGCACTCGACTGCATGGAACGAGATGACGGCCTCTGGCTGCCACGGTCAGGTCGTCGGGCGAAGCCACTAGGCCATGGCCGGCTTGGCATCGAGCTGTCATCAGAATCGTCTTCCGTCGCTGTTTGATTGAGCATCTGCATGAGTCGGCGAGTCTCTTGAGGCCTCCACGTGGATCTCAGCTGCGCTTGGTCGCCTCTATGCGTCTGGACGGGCTCAAAGTTCCATGAAGTATCGAGACGAAGGTCTCCGTGGTCCGGCTCTTGTACTACTTGTCGGTATTCGCTCGCTCCGTTGTTCTCGTCTTCCTGTCCCTGGTGATATTGACTACGGCGCTCCCGTACTGGAACGCGCAGTCCCTGGTCGTCGCCGTATCGTGGACATCGGTGCGTGAAACGGAACGGCTCTCCGCAAAGGAAGCAGAATTCGGCGCCGCAGCGGCATCTGCAATGATACAATCAGTCTCCACTTCATCGTTGAATCAACAGAAATGTCCCCAGGCGTTCAACTTCATAATGAAACCACCGGACGAAAAGCAGCCAGAGTGAACGTACGTTACGTGGTTGCAGCCGGCAGTCAGCTCGATGATCCGACTACACTGCGGGCAGCTCGACCACCCCTTCTCATCCATGAGATCCTTGAGCATCTCATCCTCCGCATCGGCGGTGCAGGGCCGCCCTGGATGTGAGACTCGGCGGCAGGCACGGCATGTGTTCTCGCCACAGACCAGGCATGTGGCGTCTGTTTGCTCAGTGAGCCTCGCCGGGATGAATTCGCCGCAACCCGGGCGAGCACAATGAACCTGCTCGCCGACGGGTGTCTCGTTCTGCTGTTGGGCCTGCAGCCAGAGGCGCAGCACGTCGGGCATGTCCAGCCAAGCGATCGTCGACGTGGCGAGCGGGTCGCAGCATTTGGGCGGCCAGGCGGCGCCGGGACCCAGACCGCTGGCGAGGTGTCGGCAGAGACACTTCTTGCACCAGACGTGACCGCACGGCAGCTTGATTTGTTTCTCGGGCTCCATGACCTCGAGGCAGATGGAGCACAATGTATCCGTATCACACCCTCTCCCATCGTCAGCTTCGTCAACAGAGCCAGCTTCGGCCTCTAGATGGGCCAGTATTCTCTTCCTCTCCGCTTCACCGATCCAGGCGGGCTGTTCCGCACCCTTTTCCGTGGCAGGAGGCATGGTAGTTGGGGCAGAGGTTGAAGCAGAAGCAGCCACTTGACCCTGCACGCTCCTCATTATGGCAATGTTGATCTGCTCATCGCCAGCGAGCCCGAGAGCCATGTCGATGGCATGGGAGACTTCGTATTGCGTGCCGGGGTTGTTGAGGTTGATGAGTCCAGACCTGAGCACAATGGCCAGGACCTCCTCGTCGAGGTCCTCCAGCCGACTCATGCTGGGTTGGGCGTGGTATTTCTTTTGGTTTTTTACCTGCTCTCCGCTTTGCTATGTCTGGTGCTCTTCTTTGCAATGCTTGGATCTGTTGTCAGAGTCAGCGTGTTTCGATGGTGCTTATTCTTGTCTCTGTCTCTTGGTTCAGGAAGGCTCTTCCTTTACAGACATACCGCTGTGTATCACGGCCGAGACTGTGAATAACGGAGATCGCTGCATCAACCGAGAGTTCCAAGTTAGCTGCGACGCCAGAAATGCGTGCCAAGAACCAGAGCAGCAGCCAGGAAGGATCCGCAGGGAGAGAGCACGGCGTCGAAGAAAAGAACAGTGCCGGTCTGGAACGAAGCCAAGGCAGCGCTCGGAACCGTACGGAAGCCCCCAGGCCTATGCTCTGCGGCCCTTCGTGGAAAGAAAAGGCCATACAACTATTCATGATCACATGCGTGGCGCCGCGGCAACGACCCAGAACGCACTGTTGATTGAATGACTAGGAAGGTGGATGACTAGGAAGGGCAAAGGTGATGAGGTCGCGGGCCGATCGCAGTCATCTCTACTACGCACACAAGTCATAAAGACGGCAAGACGTGGCCGATGGTGAACAACAGGCAAGGTTCTAAGTGATACTCTCGATTGCATGAAGAAAGATGCAGGATGTGTTCACAGCGCTACGGCCGGATCTTCACCGTCGTCGATTTTTTTTTTGTGAAGGGTCTGTCTGCCCGCTCACGGATAATTTCAAGAGACAATGATGATGAGGTTTTAAGGACATCCAAGACTAGAAACCCCGGCTTCCTAGAACTCGTGTGCGTCATGTACAGATGGCCTGGAGAACCCTCATGATTTGACGCATGTAGTCAAGGATATCCATCTTGGCCCGCACAGTAGAAAGATGCGTGGCCTGACAAGGAGAGACCATGAGACAGACAACCTCGTCGCTAGAGACTACCACGCAGATTTCCCCATGTAAACCCTTTGTACGATCCACCATGGTAGTCAAAGATCCACAAACCAGTCACATATCACTCGCGGCACTTGCCCTTCATCACCATTTCATTTATATGATCGAACGATTTCATTGTGCGAAACTATGCAAGCTGCCAAACGGCCCCTTTCGGTGTGCTGAATGCAGCCTGATTACTCTACGCCGCGCCCGGACGGCATGCTGGGAAACAACCCCTGCCCACCATAGGCCTGTTAGTTTACAGACATCCCTTTTCGAGCCTGTAAGAGACATGATGGACTTTCCGCGCCGAGCACGTATCGAGTATGTAGTACGCACGCCGTTGATAAAATGAATTGCCCAAACATGTTCCGGTCAAGTCCTCCGTCCTCGAGGCCCGACCTCCAACCCATCCCGTGCCGGCCGTTCCCTTACCTTTGAACTCCGTTACTTCGTTAACTCCGTCGCTGGTAGCTGATATTCGGTATATGGTATGATACGAGAAAAGAGAAAAGAACGAAGGTGATCCTAATGACAACAGCGATTCATGCTTTGGGGTATAGATCAATAACTAAAATCAACGTTGCCCAACTGTGGTTGTGTTTTGTTTTCTGACGTCGACGATGACGTGCTCCCAGAAACCCCTGTCCCTGGTGCTGATGGCGCATTAGAGCTCGATTGAGTTGTTGACGCCGATGACGTCTGTTGTAGTTCGTGTTCGGGGTGAGGCGGCACCCCACTATCAGACCAGCCTTCTGTGAGCAGCTGTTGGAAGCTCCAGCTGGGCTCGAATCGCGTGCTGTTCCAAGCGTAGTCGATGCGTTCGTACATCTCGTCAATTTGCTCGAGACTGACCTTGCTGGTCTCGTATACCATGCACCATACGAATAATAATGCGATGATGCAGAAGGCGCCCCAGAGGAAGAAGATTTTGGGCCCAATGTTGTCAGATCCAGGCTCATCCGTGACCATGAACGGCGTTCCATAGGCAATGGCAAAGTTCAGCAGCCAGTTAGCAAAGGTGGATACGGACATGGCCTTGGCACGGATCTTCAGGGGGTAAATTTCGGACGTGACAACCCACGTCACCGGACCCCAGGAGGCCGCGAAGAAGAATATGTTGATGGCGCAGAAGACGATGAGGATGATCTGCGAAGCCTGCCGGAGATGGGCTCCTGCTGCTGCCGAGAAAGAGGCGATCAACAGCTGGCAGATGGCCATACCAATAGCGCCTACAATGAGGAGCTTGCGGCGGCCCCACGTCTCGATGACCAATAGGCCCGGGATGGTGGAGCAGACGTTGATGATGTGAAGGATGAGGGACTTGAGGTAGGGGTCATCGACATTGACACCGTCAAAGAAGGTGGTGCTGTAGTACATGATAAAGTTGATACCAGTGAGTTGCTGCAGCATCTGCAGTCCGCAGCCGGTCAGGGTACGTCGTCCGAGGTGCGGGTGGCCGGTAAAGAGCTCGAGGTATGAGTCGGGGCCCAAAGTGAGTTCATATTCGTGGTTGGCCACGATCTCGCGTAATTCGTCCTGGAGGGCCGGATGAGTGATGTCGAGACGGCGAAGTCGACTGAGCGAGAGGCCTGCCGCCTCTTGCTTGCCAGACTTAACCAGATAACGTGGAGTCTCGGGTAGAACGAGAAGACCGGCAGCCAGTACGACAGCCCATACAAGCTGGATGCCCAGTGGTATGCGATAGGCGGCGGGTGATTGCATGTGTTGAGTTAACATGTTCACGCTCGAGGCCCAAAGCAAACCCAAGGTGATGGAGAATTGATAGGCGCAGACGAGTGTTCCACGTATCCATTTTGGAGCCATTTCAGACTGGTAAAGGGGGACGAGGACCGAAATGGCGCCTACTCCCACACCTGCAAAGAACCTGTGTCCGGTCAGCCCCCAAGTATGACAATCTCGCGGCTCAGGGCCAGCCGCAGATGATGCTTACCTTCCGACAAGAAGCATGTCGATATTATGCGCGCAGACTTGGAAGATACCGCCAAAGGAGAAGACGCCGACGGATACAAGCAAGGACATGCGACGGCCGATGGTGTCGCCTGCCGGCGCAGACAGTAGTGCACCGAGGGCCGTGCCCGCGCTGAGGATGGCGACGATGATGGAGGACTGGGCGGCCGTGATAATATATCGTCCGTCGGCTCCCTGAGGCACAGTGGTGAAGTCTCGTCGGAAAGCCTCCATGGCGAGAATGCCGTTTATCGTGCTACATGATGGCGAAGCACCAGTTAGTCGAGTGTTCCTTCGTCATGACATTTTGATGGTTTGTAGTCGCAGTGATCGCGCGTTCCCTCGGTCGGCCGATCGTGGCTGGTGCGTGCTTACCCTGTATCATAGCCAAAAAGAAGGCCGCCAGAAGCGACGAAGAGACCGACCATGATGGCCGGGGCTGACGAGCCGGCGACATTGTCGGGCTTCTGCCAGCCCATGGCAATCGCCATGGTGGAGAGCGGGTGGACGGCGTCCGGCCTTCGCTTGTCGTCGGGGTGTCGTCGAAAATGGACCGCTCGACGAGCAGGCTAGAGTCGGGGGCGTCCAGAGGTGACGGCAGGAGATTGTCGTCGATTTCGGAGGACGACCATTTGACCGGCAGCGGCCGCAGGATTTGGCGGGGAAGATGCGATCGTGGTCGTGGTCGTCGGCTTGATTGAGGTCGTAGTCGACAAAGTGTATGGAGGTGAAGAGTGACAGACGAGGAGACCGGGTCACCCGACAGGACGAACAGGTGTGGGTAATAATGGATGGGTTCGGCTGGGCACTCCTGGGGGGGGAGTGGGTGCCTCTTTAGGTACCTAGTGCTTGGTGGTACTGGGCGGGTTCGCTGGGTGCCGGGTTACTTTGGCTGGCCGTCAGAGTGGGCTGCGTTGCTTTACTGGGGTTGGGCTGGGCCTGGGCGTGTGTGGGACCTCGATGAGAGGCGAGCAAGCTGGTAGGTGACTTTGACGGGGGGCCACGGGGTGGGCAGACGGAAGACGGGAGACGGGGAAATGTTGACGTGGAGGGGGGCGGATGCTGATGGGCATGGGAATGGGAATGAGAAGGGGGAAAAGCCAGAAGCGAGAACGAGGGGGGACACTGCAAAGCCTCGCACGCGCTAGGCACCTCACCAGGGCCACCTGGAGGAGGGAGGTAGGCAGGTACCTGGAGGACGGTGGGAGAGACGGGCACACACACACCACTAACACACCCTCGAGTAGGTACACACACACACTCAGAAAGAGGGACCGAGAGAGAGCGAGAGTAGAGAAAGAGAGGGTCGAGGGATCAACGAGGTTTTCAAGGTAGCCCTGCCGCTGTGTCTGTGATTGGACAGGGGGGCGAGCCCTGCACAGTGTCGCCCCACCCAGACCTTTTCCTCCCCTGCCCCCGCTTGACGCCCCAAAATTCATCCCAAGCCTCAAGGAGTCAAGCCTGACCCGCTGAGACGGGCCCCAAAGAGGAATGGTATGTCTTTTCCCACAGCTCTTGGCTGGGCTTGATGAGGAGGGCGGGAAGCGTTCGAGTCTGCCATGTACCGCTTTGTCACTCGAGACCGCTGCCACAGTCAGTAGGAAATGGCACCTTACCCCAAAGGTCCAAGTCATCCATGTTCACACGAATACCGCACCTCTTTTGGACTGACGGAACAGACTTTAGCATGGCAGACCCAGTACCATCGAAAACCGACTACCGGACGCCATCTGCCATGCCAGCGTAACACGGACTGAAGAAAGCATCATCACATCCCAAGGATCCAAGGCGTTGCGGCGATGGGCCGCAATGTGGCGCGCGATAGGTCGCGAGGTAAGTCATGGCGCCTTGTTCAGTACCTACCTTACCTAGGCAGGTAGGTACCTTACGTACGTAGTCGTTAGAAGCGGTGTTGGTCATGCTCCAAAAGAAACGCAGTCACACGCCATGCGTCTATGTGGGCGTGTGAGGTGGGCTGAGGACAGGAAGTGACAAGACTCGACCAACACATTACGACCTTGCCAGTGCATGTTTTAGGGGGCTTGGGGGGCAAGGGAAGGCCGTGAGGTGTGACAGGAACGCCTCGCCCCAGAACCTGTTCGTGCCATTTGGAGACGACATGTCAGTTGGTGAGCATTCTGGCCTGAAATGTTAGGCGGAACGACCTATCTCCTCGTCCCGCCTACCACCACCGCCCACCCCTCTGATTGCACCGTGGCTTTAGATGCCATGGACACTGTCCATACCGTCTATCTCGTCGCCAATCATGCTATGCCCATCCTTCTGAGGGCTGGTGAGGGGTGGCCCGCGCGCTTTCTCTCGCACTCTCTCCCTCTCTCTCTCGCACTCTCTCGTCTCCAACTACCTGTCTCCCTTTCAATTGAATTTCAGGTGTCTCGCAGGCGGGCTGGGCGACCTAGTCAGATTCCCGAGACGCGCAATTCCCACGACGTGGTACCCGATCTCTCGCTGGGCTGAATGTCTCAAATGCACCCATGATTCGTGATCACCTAGGCAGATGCCATGAAACATGGTTCGGATTACTCGGTCGGGCACAGCGACCTGGTTTTTGAGCCGACCAGCAAAGAATGCTGCGCAAGGTTGAAGGTGGTAAATCGGTGAGGCTTCTTCTCTCGCTCTGTGTGTGTGTGTGTGTGTGTGTGACCTTTACTCGGCACCAAACACAGCAAACTGTCGGCCAACGGCACACGATGTGGGGCAAAAGCGTAAACCGTAATAAGGTACGCAGTGCGTAGGGCCCGCCGCCTGAAAGGTGCACTCATACCATGTACGTTTTCCCTTCGAGTCTGATCCGAGTCTGATAGTCTGGAGGCAGGCAAAGGACAGCGGATGAGTGCCGTTCTTCCAACCCAAGACTCACAGTGCGGAGTCCTCCGCCTCATCCCCCCTGCCTCTCCTCGCCCTCCTGCACACACGCTCACGGTGCGCCGGCATCTGAGAGGGGAAGGCCCTGGCCAGCAAGTGGAGAGTCGCGGAGTTTGCGGGGGAAGAGGTCCACATCCGAGGTACCGCTGAAGTACACAGTATCGCGCTACCGTAAAGACCCGGTGCATCGGTTCCTGCCCCCTTGACCGACCCCGTGGGCTGGGCTCATGCGCTGCCACTGACCACTCTGCTCAGTGCCTGTTTCCCTTGTCTTCGTCTTCGTCTTCGTCTCTGCCCACCGCTGATTTGATGGGCGTGGCGATCAGGGTCGACCAGGGGCTGCCATGAACTGGTCTCTGCCGTGCGTGCCTGCCTACCTGCCTGCCTGCCTACCTACCTGCCTGCCCGCCTACCGGAGTCACTTCATTCAGACCATCGCGACAGTGCTTCCCGCTGTGATGAGACGAGACTCGGACGAGACAAGCAGGCGGCGTTTTTGGCTTGCTCTTGTCTCGCCAGTGCTCGTGGCGGGCGTAGCCATGTTCCGAGGTTGGATCCCGGCTGGCAAGGCTCGTACATCGGTTCGAGGCGTTCTTTTCTTGCCTTGCCATCACTCACTCTCTCGTGTGAATCAGTTCATCGAGCACGCGCGCACAGATTGCTGGTCGTCCTTTTTTCTTCCTTCTCAAAACAAGCTGACGTTGGCTGGTACGCCATGTCATGTACATGTGTGCAGTCCTTCCTTGCCTCACTGCCTTACCCAAGTATCTCATACTCATGTAGGTACCTACCTAGGTACCTGAGGTAAGGTGCCGTGAGGTAGACGTGTGTGGTATAGCACCCCAGGCCTTAGGGCAAAGCAATGTACCGACGCGGACTAGGTTCTCGTCCCTGGACCGCCTCCTTTGGGTGCCCTCGGCGAACACGTAACACAACGAACGACATCCTGGACGGCCGCCCGTGAGCGTCATGCCATACTTACCTTAGGTAGGTACTCAGGACCACCTGTCTTCTCCTCTTCCCTTCCTCCTCCCAGCCTTGATTCGCCCCTGTCTAACCCTCGCCCATGCAGTTCGGCATGCCGGAATCCCAGCACCACAACTCGCCGCAAATCATCTGCTCGCCGCTACACAGGGGTGCCTCGCCTCTAACAACGCCCGACACCAGAACGAAGCAGTAGCCGCAACAGCCACATCAGCCAGGCAATGTCCGCAAGGCAGGCGGGTGGGCACCCAGGCAAGGCAAGCAGGCGGGTGGACAGACCATCAGACAAGCTAAAAAAACAAGCTGTTTCGGCGAGGAACCAGTCCAGCCCAGCCCGCCTACCTGCCGTGCCTACCTGTGCCGGGACCTGATGGACGCCCCCGGCATGGCCAGGTAGCGGTCGGGGTACAACGGCCGTCTGTGAGGGGTGGCTCTGCCAGGAGAACAATGCGTTGAGCCGGACTACACTCATCAGCCCTGTCGGTCAGAGCTCTGCGCCTCGTTTGTCTTGACCTCTTTTCCTGGCGTGCGCCACCAAATGGCCCCTCGTCCTGTCTCTCGTAGGAACAAGCAGCCAAGACCACGAGCACGCGCCGCCCGCCTGTTAGGAGATTTGGTGGTCATTCGTGAGAATAAGGGATGCAGGCCAAGAGGGCTTGCGACGTAGGGAAAGCAGACCTTTCGCCACCTCTTGGCCTTTCTCGAGGCGTTGCTTCGGCGGCACAGGCGCGGCCGTGTAGATTGCTTCCTCTTTCTGGGTCCCTCTATCAGACTAACGACAGTGCTGGCCTTGATGACCCCAAAGATCCTGTTCGGCCCCGTTAGAACTTGAAGCTTACGTCCCAGGAGGGAAGCATAAAGCTAAGCACGACCTGTCATTGGCAGTTGACGTGGCCCGACCTGGCCTGGCAACACATTTTTGGGTTGTGATCATGCTGCTTCACTGCATTTGTGGAACCGGACTGACAATGGGGATCGTGCGGGCTGGCTGCCCATGTGATCTGGTCGTGCTTTGCAGAGCGGTCACCAGCCTCGATCTCACAGGCTAGTGAGTGGTATCAGAGGTGTGGTTCCCGAATCCCGAAGTCGAAGAGCAATCCAGACCTGCGCTCTGAGATGCAATTTCGATGCGGCATGGCCCAGTAGCGTCTCCAATTTTGTCGGTCTCTCTGATGGGGTTTTGTAGACTTTCTGCCCAGCATTTGTCGTTCACCAATACTTGTTTGCCTCTGGAGTCCCCAAAGGTGGCAACTTGAGTCAAAGACGTCCGAAGCAGGCCAGAATCATGAATAGTGTCTCCGATACCGGTCTGGGCCATGGTTGATGTCATCCAAGCTCAGCAAGTCGAATTAGGTCGAGGAAGCTCGCGAAGCCAAACTCGTGGCCCTTCGAAAGCTTGTCCCCTAGACATGTGCGCCGGAAACTGACCACGTGAGGAATTTCCACGGCTCAAGCTGAACGAGACCTGCCTGCCTGCATGTGTCAGCCTGGACTGACCCAGGTGAGTCAGCGTATCCTAAATATCCTGGGTTCATTGACGACTCCGACATCGAGATTGAGGCAAAGAGTACGTTGGTCGATCACGAGGGGGGCTCTGCTGAGCCTCGGCCCTGGGCCCACT